GGCTTCCCATTGAGGCTCGAATCAAGTTCAAATCATTGACGCTGACATACAGGACAGTCACAGGCTCCGCTCCTTCATGCCTCCACAAACTCCTCCAGCTCTACGTCCCCTCCAGACGCCTCCGTTCAGAAAATGACCAGCGTCTGGAAGTCCCATCTCAGAGCGGCAAAAAATCTCTCACCAGGACCTTCTCCTTCACAGTTCCTGGCTGGTGGAATTCCATTGCCGTCCCATTACGGAAAGCTGAATCTCTTTACACCTTCAAAAAGCAGCTAAAAACTCTACTCTTTCGAGAGCACTTACTAACTTAACCTACTTACTTACTAACTTAACATAAGCACTTACTAACTAACTGAACTAACTTATAATAAAAAAAAAACCCTCTGAAGCACTGATTTGAATTCATTTTCTGTACTAGCTTGAAAGGGTTCTATGTGTATGTCTTCTGATCAATCCACTTTGTACCAAACTGCATGATGTTTACTCCCAATGTAAGTCGCTTTGGATAAAAGCGTCTGCTAAATACATAAATGTAAATGTAGCCATCCCACCAAATGGGAGCCGTTTGCTTGTTTAACTTTTTCAAAGTTCTTTTTTTACTTCATTTCAAAATCCAATAGCATTAAAAACTCAAGTATTCCAAATTAGCAGTGGTCCATTTTAAGTAACTTACTTAAATTTGTTATTAGATTTATAATCAATAGATGGGTGCTGTTTCTTGTTACCAGCCCTCTTGTTATTTATTTTTATTTCTTTAATAGAACCGAAAGTAACAGGACAGTGTTTTTAGGAAAGAATTAGCAAATACATGCCGCACATGATTATAAAACCAGGAGGTTCTGCTAATTCAGTTATTTACCAAATATGTCCATTTTTACACAAAACTGATTAAACCGCTGAGATAATTTGATTAACAGGATCATATTTAATACATGACTTATCCTTGTTCTTGCCACAGCTAAGTGATGCACCTTCCTGCTTAAAAACTGACAAATGGAAATTCCCCAGTTTTTCAAGAGTTGGATGGGAAACAGGAATGTGTTAAAAGCTGGGGACATGACTAAAATGTTTTGTTTTTTTTTTAAATCTACAAAAGTAGAGATTTTTGTGTAAATAAATGAATTTTACACAGATTATACATTATTTTGTTCTCTGTAAAAGATCTTAGTCATTATACTTTATGGGGAAGTGTACCATCAGACACTGAGGAAAAGCAATAAATGCAATTTTTCAGTCTTCGTGCGGATTTATTATTATCATACATTTTACAGCTTCAATTTGCAATAAGAATAGTATGTAGCACACTTTGTTTAGTAATGAAATGTATTTATGACGCACTTTCACAGCTTATTTTTACATAAAAAGCTCCAGAAACAGAATGGCTCAGTGTCCTACTGTACTCCTCCAAAAAGTCTCACCCTGTTCCTCGGTGACGGCCCACACCATCAGGTCAACGCAGGCAGCATTAGCCTGGCAGCGCAGTTTGAGCGGATTCAGCTCGCTCTGCAGATACTCCACATCATGAAGAATCCTCTGCAGCTCCGACTGACTGCTGCTGAACTGCTCCAGAACAAAGTCATGTACCTCCTTCACAAAGGAAACCTGAAGGTCTGCAGGAAGCACAGACGCATGACAATTAATTTATGGTAGTTTATAAGAAAAACGTAAGTATTATGTAGGTCAACACGATAAAATAAAACATTGAAAAAAAACTATTCCATACAAGTTATCTAAAAAGTTTGAAATATTGTGAACAGATGGAAAAAACAGCAAAACGATAACATTTTACACTTTACATCTTAAAATTGCGAACTTTTAGAAATGCTGTGTTTTAAAACGATACGTCTCAAGAGTGAATCGATTGTGAAACGTTACTGTTTTTATGTAAAAACTGTGGGTTTTTTGTTTGATTTCAATTACATTTTAAGACATATTCGTACGTAAAACGATTATTTGAATTAAATTACAAAAAAAATTATTTGAATTAAATGACAAAAATTATGTTATTTGCAGTTGCTATGGCAGCCATATTTGTTAAACATCTAACAAATTTGTATCAAGCACACTCGATCTGAAGTGTGGCGGAAAATTAAGACCTGTGAAAAATTATTTAGGGTAATGTAAGAAGGAAACCATGCTATAGGAACAACTTATTTACTGGTTTATTCATTCTTTTATTTTCCATGAAACTTGTTTTTCAACTTTTTAGAATTAATTTTTCATTTTATCAAACAAATTTTACTAATTTAATCAAATTGTAATGAAAACTGTTATTTATTATAGTTGAAACACCCACTGCAAAGATAAATAGGAAATAATAAAGAACTGCTGCAACGCATTATTAATAATAAAAGTAAATACGTTCATAAGGCTACTTTCAAATCTGTTAATAGTTTGTTCATTATTTATATATATATATATATATATATATATATATATATATATATATATATATATATATATATATATATATAACTGCTATTATCAAAGTCGTGCCCTTTGTGTGTGTGTATATATATATATATATATATATACATACATACATACATACGAAGGGCACGACTTTGATAATAGCAGTGGTTTTTCCTCAAAAATTAATAAAACAATAATAATAAAACAGAAAACAAGATCCAAAACCCTTTTAACAACCTTTAGAGATTTTATTTAGAGTTCCACTCATACAAGTGTAAGCAGTAAAGGAATGAGGAGCTCTGAGTAAAAATAGGATCTTCTAAAAAAAAATGTGCATATTGTGATAAAGTTCATTATTTTCTGTAATGACCTGATAAACATTAGACTTTCGTATATTTCAGATCAACTTCCACACAACTGAATTAGTTCAAGCCTTTTTTTGTTTTTAAATTGATAATTTTGACACACAGCTCATGAAAACCCAAAATTAGGTCAAATCTCAAAAATCTGACTGTGGGTACTTGACACTGGACTTCAGGCATTTTGGCATTTCCGTCTCCCCAGTCTTCCTCCAGACTCTGGCACCTTGATTTCCAAATGAAAGGCAGAATTTGAGCAACAGTCCAGTGAGTCTACTCCAGACTCACTCCACTGCTTCCGCAGGTCCCCCAATGTCCCCCACAATCTTCCTCAGGGTCCGGTCACCTCTTCTCGTTGTGCTGAGTTTTCTGGCACACTTTTTCCTTCCCACTGAGGCGCCTTAATACAGCACTGTGGGAACAGCCGATTCGTTCAGAAATCCTCAGTGATGTTCTTCTGGAGAGCAGTCTTACCCATGATTGTGGTTTTGAGTAATGAACCAGGCTGTGAGTTTTCAAAAGTTTTTAAAAAGTTTTAAAAGTCAATTAGTTGATTCAGATGATTAGGTTGATGGCTCGTTTGACACATTTATGAAAGTCTATGAATGTTTATCAGTACATTACAGAATTTTTTTGAGAAGATCCTATAATGTTAATTACATCACAAACAGGAATATACAAGCTTTTTAAATTGAGTTGCTGGGAGACATTTTGGTCTCTTTCCTGCTTTGGAGCCTCTCATTCTACTCCCCCCAGCTCCTTTGTCTCTATCTTTTCTCAATGCAGCATTGTATTTAGCTGTAAGTATCTTCAGTGTTTAAGCCAAACATTCATTCATTTTCCTGCCCGCTTATTCACTTTCAGGGTCACGGGGGTCTGCTGGTGCCAGCTCACTTTGGGCAGAGGTAGGGGTACAACCTGGAAAGGTTGGCAGTCGATCGCAGGGTAAAACACACAATCACTCACACATTCTCACCTAAGGGGAATATAGATTATTGAATAAATCTAACCGCATGTTTTTGGAATTGTGGGAGAAACCGGAGTACCCAGAGGATACCCACACAAGCATGGGGAGAACATGCAAACTCCTTTCAGGAAGGTCAAGGGTGAGCCTCGATGCAGCAACCTTCTAACTGGAAGGCCACAGTGCTACCCACTGTCCCGCCTTTTTAAGCTAAATATAACAACGTTTTTTGTTAAAACTTTCTAAACCTTGCTTCCAGAGTCTTCTGTATTGGGTTACCAACGCTTTTACACCATTTTTCCTTTATAAGCTGTAAATTGAGGAAAAAAAATGCACACTTTTTATATTTAGTCTTCATTAAATTCATGTTGATTTTACCTTTCATGTAGTACAAAGCATCCCTCAGCATCTTAAAGATTGCCACGTATAGTGGATCACTGAAAGACTTGTAGAAGAGGTTCGCTGCCGGATTGAGCTGCAAAAGAGAGAACAGAAGTTTTAGAAATCAGCAGCTTCCATTTCAAAGAGTCAAAGGGACTGAAAATACCTCCAGGACTTCAGTCATGGCCTGGTCCAGAGACTTCATGAAGGGTTCTGAAACAAACTGCTCCACCTGCACCAAAAACAAATATGTAACTCAAATGATAGTAAGAATGTGAAGCTTGTGTTCCTTACTGTAACAGACCATCTGCAGAAGTTGCTGGAGTAGATCCGGAGGAACGGTGAACTCTTTGCTGGTGCTGCCTGTGAAGAGCGGTGAGACAGAGAAACTGGAACTAATTGTGGAGAAGTAGTAGTCCGGGTCCACAGCACTGCCGTCGGGAAGGTATGAGCCAGCTGAGGTATACAAACATAACCAAACCTTAAACAGGGTTTCCGCGGGCTTTTAGACCTTTCTTTATAAAGAAACAAAATTAAGATCTATATCAAACTTATGTTTATCTAACAAACTGCCATAAATTACAATTACAAGCTATCTAAAAAAACGTAAACAATACCTGCAGCTTGAAAAATTGTGGAAGATGGAAAAAAAAGTAAATTATTCTTTTCAGAATTTTAAAACCTTTAAAGACAAAAATTACTTTAACAAAGATGACTGCCAAAGCAACCAGAAATAAATAGCCAAATGTGCCGCCTCGTGCGGAGCATGCTGGGAAATCTCTCTCAACAACATTCAATCTGAAGTGTTTGGGAAAGCCAAGACCTGTAAAATTTATTTAAAACCTAGCAAATTTAATTACATTTAAGACTTTTTAAGGCCAGGTGCCATGGTGGCGCAGTGGGTAGCACAATGGCCTTCCATTAAAAAGGTTGCCAGTTCGAAGCTTGTCAGTGACATTCCTGGAAGGAGTATTCTGAAAGTTTAAATTATGGAAAAGTGTTACAACCGCTGTGTGTTTTAATTGTTTATTATTTATAATGTACTTATGTGTTTTATGTGATTAGTGTGATTACGTGAGATTGGTGACGTCAACTGTTTATCGATCAGGAGATGAACGGGGCGGACTATTTAAGACCCGCGTCAGCTCCGCTCGCTCTCAGTTTGTTGCCTCTCTCTCGTCAGTTTAGTTTGTGATCTTAGTGTTCTTCGTGAACCTCATTTGAGTGTTTGATTCGAGATTGTCGTGATCTCTTCGTGGGAGGTTCCGTGTCCGTGTCACTCCCCAGAGTGCAGCATCTCACCTGAAGCTTCCGCTGCTTGAGAGCACTCATCTCTCCTGTTCTGCCTTTTTTCCCCACACTCTCAGGTTTGGATTAAGCACTCTTAGTTTAGCTCAGTTCTTCGTTTTTCCGTTTATCATTAGCTCCGTTCTTGTTTCACACTTTCGATTACCACAGCAGTCGTATGTTTCGTGTACAGCTCACCTTTTAGTTTATCCACGTCCCTTTCGTAACGTTCACTTGTAGTTTTAGGCTACTTTGGAACATTACATTTATGCATTTGGCAGACGCTTTTATCCAAAGCGACTTACATTTGAATGAACATATTTTTTTCTGTCAGTTCTTGCTTTCCCTGGGATTTGAACCCACAACCTTTGCGTTGTTAGCGCAATGCTCTACCAACTGAGCCACAGGAAAGATATAACACAATCCAGGGACTGGAACAATCTAGGGACTGGTTTCGTTGGTGTGCGGTGGTACGGCTTACGTGTGTGTTGTGTGAACCTGTATGCTAATTAGTTTGTGTACTTTGATTTCTGCAGCATTCGTTGCATTGGTAATTTAGTTTGGTGAATTATATACTTTTGGATTACGTGTATATTTGTGTTTATTATTGTTTAACCCTGTAAAACACATTGTTTGATTATTTGAACTTGATTTTAATACAAGGAGTATTTGAGTTGTTCTTAATCGTGTTTGGTGTGGTTTATAGTCAATATATGATAGTGTTTTTGAATTACAGGAGTTTGTGTATTTGATAGCTTGCTTTTGAATTCATTTTCTTCTAGTTATACTTCCTCAATGTGCGGTCCGAGCGCTCGTCACATGTTGCGAGCTAGGGGTC